TATTACTGAGTCATTAATACTGCATGAAGAGAAAGCTAGGCTACCAATAATATTACCGAGTTATATAAGGTGCAATACTCTAGGACCATAGTCAAATCTGGAAAAACAGTTCCATAATAATCTTTAAATATATTTACCTCTAGATTATCTGGATTTCACTAAACGATCCAAACTGTGAAAAAAAATATTCACAATGCAATATACAGTACAAATCACAGATTCAGCCACAAGCAGCCTTGGGGGGGCCTGTGTATAATTAAGCTAACCAGGCTTTTAACATTTGGGCAACTTATTTAATGTCAAGCTTTCTGATTGGTTATTTTTCTCATGATAGTTTGTAATCAGTGTTTTGATTGGTAAAATCAGCAAAAGTGACAACAAAGTATTATTTTCATATTATTACTGTACCAGCTCTTCCAGTTCAAAGGTTGGAATAGTTGATAATGAAATTCCAGGGGTGAATGAGTTAATGTAAATAATGATGTAACAACAGGGGGTAAACAATATTCAACTGACAAGATCAGATACACAGTTTGGTCTGTTTATACTCTCAGAGTAGATTCATTTCTTATAACAGTGAAAGTCAGTGCTAAATGATAGTTAAAAAAATGGTATTTGGTTTAAGTAACATGATGTCCACAAAATCCTATTTACCCCAGCTGTCTAATCTCGTTTCTCGCTGCGCCCTTTGAAGTCGTCCATTGAGTTGGAGGCACCAAAGTACCGACACAATATTGACAGCACTTTTGTGGGAATGATCCTGTAGAAAACAATCGGAGACTATTAAGTATAAACAAACGACAATTACTCTAGATGATTTGTCTTTTTTGACTTATACAAACTCCACACCCATAATAGGCAGATCACTTCAAAGGCAGGTACAAAAATGTGTTACGTAAAATGGGGAAAATTTGTAGTCTAGAGCTGAAAGTATATTTTGCGATTTGGTCAGTTCAGAAGCTTTCCAGAGTTTCTATAACCAGACGTTTAGTCTGCTCTAGAGCATAAACAAATTATTATTAACTTCTATAGCTTGCCAAGCTGTGTCAGTTTATTTCTAAACATTTTCTTCGGGTTGGTAAGTATGGATGTACATGTGTCAGTATAAGTAGATATTTGGAGTATTTTGAAGTACTTAAGATGAGTGAATTTGGACCGAATTCACATTTACAGTAACATTTACTGTTTTGTATGTCCATGTACATCATCAGTCGAGAGTGTCTTCCTTTGACTATCAGATTCATTTTTGACCCTTCTTTTACTTATCAGTTTCCAACTATACACCACACTATATATAAACAAGCTATAAATATTACATGAATTAGTACTGTACATTACCCTTTCAGTGCCATAAAGAAGTAGAGGGCGCGCGGCAGTATGATTACTTTCTGGTTACAGAGGACAGCGTCTACAATCCTGTTGGAAGCTTCTTCGGGTTTGAGGATTGGCAGCAACCACGGAACTCTAGAAAAACAGCAAACAGTTTTGATACTTCTATTTCTCTTAATCAGTAATTAAATATATCTTGAGATCACAATGTATAGTCAAACTCTACAAAATAATACACAATAATAATTGATGACGAAGACTACAATATATTGGTAGAGACATTATGAAATATTGAAAAAACAAAAACAAAAAAATACAAGGTATAATTACAATCTACATTATCTGTAAATATGTATTTGGGTGTGGATATTTTTGTACCATTTTAATTCACTGAACATGAAGTCTGTGATAATTTCCACACTGCAAAGATTTCTGCTTTTACTGTATTAATTTAACTATGAAATATTATAAATTGCTACAATTTATCAATTCAGTCTGCAAATTATTGATAAAGGTTTGAAAAATTGAAAGAATATAAAGACTCCAGTTACCTTGTCTTACAGCCTTCAAACATGCCCGTGGAAATATAGAAAGGGCAGACAACTGTGGTGTGGACGCCATCTTTTCCCAGCATTTCCAATTCAAACCTGAGAGACTCGTCGAAGCCGACGGCTCCAAATTTACTGGCACAGTAGTCACAGAGACCATTCACTCCCAGCAGACCCGCAGAACTGGCTACGTTCACAATGTGTCCATGGTTACGATCCATCATTACAGGTAGAAATGCTTTGCACATCTGAATTTATTTATTTTTTTAGTTTGAAACATGTTTGGCATGTACATTTACATATATATATATATTACACTTCATATTGAATTTTGAATGTGCAACCATGGAATATGAATTTAGTCAGTGTATCTAGATGTTGAAGGGACCAAACAATGGCTGTCATCGAATAGTTATCGCGCTGAAGCATGA